AGAGAGAGAGAGAGAGAGAGAGAGAGAGAGAGAGAGAGAGAGAGAGAGAGAGAGAGAGAGAGAGAGATTTCTTCAAAAACATGAATAAGAAATAGTGCTCGTGATTTCCATTTGCTTTCAGTGCCACGGTTCCAAATTCAAAGGTAAACAAGAACCGGGCTAGCAGAAAGGGTTGTACATGTCATAAGCTTCATTGAAGTTCATTCATGTTGTCTTTTTTTTTTTTTTTTACCTGTTTTACGCAGTGATACAAACCTCTCCGCTTTTTTTCCGGCTTTTTGCTCTCTCCAAGGCAATACAAGTCAAGTGCTTGTAAGTAATGCATGCGTCGTTGCACAAACACAACAGATCCCAGGATGTTAACTTAATGTGGCAGTCTCAGGATGTGTTCCAGGCAATGATTGGATCATCATCAACACCCCTTTTCTCATGTGGACGGAGCCAGTGCGACCGGTCTTGTAGTATTTAGCGTTCTTCTGCTGAAGTAGTAGTGGTAAACATTATTACAAAATAACACTGGTTGAGTTTTCTGCTGTAAATGCAGTGGGGCTAATTGAAACTACAGAGATGGGACGGATGTATTCTTTTTAGCCTACATGGAATATTTCAAATAATTGGTTCACTTCCTTGTGGATTTTGCGCGCTTTTAATTAGCATGGCCAGTTGATGGAATATTAGGAAGACCATTCTTCAGATATGCATGCACCTACTGTAAGAATGTCCTCATTCCTTTGATTTCCATGCATGAGCAACAATGATTTCATCACACACGTTTGGTTGGACGGTTTTCTTGCAAATCACAATTCATCTATACACAGCCGTGAACTCCACGAGAGCTATTGAAGACAAAAACCATGACCATATTTGCAGCCAGCTGCACAGGGCATCAAGCAACAAACAGCAGGCACAATCATATAGTATCTCTGGGGGAGTTCTGAGCAGCCATGGCTGTGCATCATCTTACCGTTAGTATTTCACCCCTGCACACGTCAAAGTGCAAGCAAAAACAGTGAAACCAACGCCGAGCTACCCACTTCTATTGGAAGGGTACTCAGTATCAATTGTTGCCCGCATGGCTACCAAGAATAACCACTATGGGCTAAAACTCCTCGGCTGGTAAGTGCCTTCCTGGCTTCAAAAGCTAGCAATGTTACCAACATGAACACAAAACATTTCTTTCGACAATTTGGGTGTCTCCAACCACGCGACCCCATCGAGCTCGGCACAATGGAATTGTAAATTTTGTAAGTTGATTTAGTAAGTTGACAGGGGTTAAATCGTGTTCCTTTTTCAGACTTTCATTCTATGACAAGTATGGGGAAACTGTGGTGACACAATTGCAGATTATCACTGTTCATTTTGTCCATCGACCCTATGGATTGTTCTTAGCCTTCTTTTTCATGACATTACGGCGTTGAAGGATTCAAACACATATGAAAAGTAGGATGGTGCTTACCGAACTGAGATGCAAGCTCCTGAACTAATGGGAACTGCTGTAAGGTCAAGCTGCATGAGCCAGCAGTTGTTCAGCTTTTTGGGCATTGAGGATTGACCTGGAACTTGGCTCCGAGAGCAAGGTAAGGGCATGGTTCGGCTCTGCTCCAAAAGCAAGGAACTGGTATGGTACCACGTAGCTCAACTATTGTGGGTATCACTTAGCTCCAAAAGCAAGGTACTGTCAAAGTACCTATGTCCAGACGAATGCAGAATTAGACTGTCATAGAGAAAAGTTGTGTAGAAAACTGTATGGAGAAAAAGTAGTATACTGACACCGAAGGGTGTAACTGCAGAGTATGTGCCCATCCCACATCTCGGGTACAGAGTTGAAGTTCAGCACTTGGTACTCCTCGGTCAGTCGATTCCATTGGTCGTTCATGTGGTCAGTTTCTTCGTCGATGGCCAGGAGGTCTGCAAACATTCTGCTTTGATGGGTCAAGATGTGGGGGTAGTGTCTCTTTTTTGCTACACCCTTATCTAGTTTGTCTGCTGGTGCAGATTGGGAATGTCTACTGTAAGTTTCGGGAGGAGGAGCAAGCAGCTGCCGCTCTTCGTGCACTTTCAGGACGTTACTACGCAGGTAGGGGTACAACACTATGCTGTTGCTCAGAATTAGAAAAGCTGCTTTCGGAGGGTAATCTCTTCATTCCTCTGTGTGTTCCTGAACTGATTTGCATTGACTAGAGACTGTTGTGTCAGCTGTAACGAAACATTTTAATACAACAGAGAGCAAGCAAAGAGCAGGGAATATTCTACACTATCACAAGGCGCGTTTCTCTCTTGAAAATCCAGTGGATGGTTGGGGCTGGATTCTTCCACCCTCCTGAGGCTCTGTTCAAACTGTTTCAGCCAGAACAAACATTCCATGAGCTGATTTCGCTCAGCACATTTCGAGCCCATGCCCTTCGTAAGATGAAAGTGCGGACTGAATATTTCATGGGCTATTTTCCCTCGCAACTTGATGGAGAATGGCAACTTTGCCCAAGGATGCCATACTGGCAGTATGTATGTGCACCCTTTCTCTTTTGCCCTCGGAAATCACCTGTGTCGTTTGGCTGTTGGGGTGTTGTCCTCGTGCAGATGGGCTTCTGGTTTGTGGCATGGCTATAGTACACCTGTATGCTGGGACCTGGGCCTTCCAGATAGATTCCACATGCCTGGAGAAGCGGTTAACAGAGCCCCAAGTTTTGAGGATTTTTTCAGGGTCATCATAACAAACGTCCCACACCTTTTAAGCCAGACTTGTCCAACAGACCACGGACCATGGATGGGTATGTCCGGCCAATGGCTTCTGGTCCGTGGTCTGTTGGACCACACTATGCCAAATCGAAACATGGGGCCTGGTGGACCCCCATTTTTTCAGAAAATGTGCGCGACGGTTGTGCCCCGCTGATCTGCAAAGATGAGCGACGGAGATCCTCCACTCGTTGTTTGCCAGAAGTGGGTCCCCAAAAGCCCCAATTTTATTTTTTATAGGAGGCCGCGGCCTCATGGGGGCTCGGTGGTCGTGGGGATGCCTGTCACTGTGCGGTACCCCCCCCGGTCCAGCCTATTGCGCTGGATCGACTGGGGTTCTGCCGGGCCGGTCGACCGGCCGATCCGACCGGCAGGCTTCCGGATGGGGAGGGGTCCCCGGTCCAACCGGGGGACCAGCCCTGGTTTTCATGCAAAATTCACTCTTTTTAGTTTTCAGGATTTTCATGCTTATGCATGCCTGGACCTGGTCAAAATCAAGGTGGATGTCGGGCACTGCTGCTTAGGTCATCTCGCAAACTGTTGGAGGTGGTCGAGTGTGTCATTCAGCAGCACATCAAACGAAGAGATAACTGTTTGTTGCTATGACCTTTGCATAACTGTCTTGACTTCATCATCTTGTTCCCTTGCTCTGTTGTTTGCCAGATTGTCTCTGATGCCTTTCTAATTTGTATATTATCGCTTATGTGGCAGGCCGACCCATCATCGTTGACTTCTCCCCAGTGACAGACTTTCGGGAGGCCACATGCAGGCAACACGAGGAGAACAACTGCAACCGTGGAGGTTATTGCAATTTTATGCACTTGAAAAGAATTGGAAGGTGAGAAATGACTCTTCTGTTCGAGAACCTTGATGACAGTCGCCGTTCGTACCTGTGGCTTGTTGATCTGCTTGGAGCATGTGATTTTGAGATCATACTAGGAGTATGCCGTGGGCGTAGCAAGGTTGCTGGTGATGTGCAGGGAAGCGGTGGTAACGTTCAGCCTTGGGTAGTCAGGGTCCGTTTCCGCTGTAAGTGGGGGATCGGGGGATGCATAAAGTTTGTGTCCCAACTTGGCCATGGATGTAAGGTACGTCCACTGAGTCAGGGAAAGACATGAGAAAAATGCAAAAAAGAAAATGTCTTTATTTTTTTTCTTTTTGTGCATATGGTTGTGCCTTCTTGCTGTGACCTGTTAGGCCCGCCCATCCCGACAGGGAAGGCCAGGGTAGATGCATCAGGTTGGGGAAAATAGGGTATCGTGAACCGATTATTTATGGTGAGTAGTCTTGTCCTGTTATTTGTTGTCTGAGGCGAGTAGGGTGTAAAGAGGGTGGCCAACCAGTGCGAGACAAGGTGAAGTAGGCGATGAAATAAAGCGATTCAGTGCAACCCTTGGATAACCATTGCGGTCCCTTTCCTCGAGATGCACAAGTTGGTCTCCCTTCACAGTTGGGTTATTTTGAGCCTTTTGAGGTTCTCATCATTGATTATGGGTTATTAGACTGAAGAAGGATGCAGAAAATGTATGCCTACTGTTGTTGTGGATGCTTTGTTTGTCATTGTGTGGCCAAAAATCTGTTTATCATTTATATGTGTCTCACTTGCTGAGGTTGGTATGTCGAGTAAGCAAGGTGGGCCACAATGAATGTAGATAGCTGGTTGTAACTTCTTTTTGGCACCCTATTCAGAACATAAATGCAAAGAACAGCGTGAAGAGGCCATGGCTTGGATTGTTGCCTGTCTCAGTTGATTGTCACTCTGGAACAATTCTTTGCAACCTTCTCATGGATGTCCATTTGATCTGCCCTATGGCGCATTGGTTATTTAGCTCATTCTGGTGGGCTCAGATTCCCCTTAGAAGGTGGGTTGCTCAGCTATGATGTGTGGGACTCGAACTCTCTGTAGAGTTCATGCTGTTTGTGTGTGTGTTTCCCTCACCACATGCCGCTGCGCATATGACGGGTCAAGATCCTGTTCTCTTCGGCCTGCTGGAATGGAAGATTGTCGATGTTTTTTTTTGTGGAAGCTAGGACGTTTCTCCTGTCAGCTTTGGGGTAAAGTGGTGCGCATCTGATTCTTTGGCCCACTATATTGGTTCGTATTGTATATATTGTATGTATTATGTTTGACGATATATATATTATATATATATTTGTTCATATTTTATATATTGTACGTATTAAGGTTCAGCCTCCTGAATCCTGATGAGTTGGTGAAACTCCGATGAAACAGTTTGTCACAGTCCCTCGTTTGTGTTGCTCTTCTCTCTCTCTGCCTACGGTGTACCGGGCAGCTCTGTCTGACGATATGTATTGTTCATTTTCTTCTGGATGGAAATTTGTTTACAGGGATTTGCGTAGGAAGCTGTTTGGAAGGTTCAAGCGCAGTCGCAGTCGCAGTCCCAGTCCTTATGGCCGAGACAGTGACCATGGCAGTCCCAGGCGGAGGTATGTTGAGGTTATTCTTGAGGCCATCAGTTGAATACAGCAGAAAGATTGCCTTGATTTCCGGTAATTTACAAGATTCTAAGATTGAGGGTGAAGTAGTGCCAGCATGGTGCTGTACAGACCAGCGGCCTTGATCACAGTTGGATTACAATTTTAGAAGCGTGGCAAAGAAAAAATTTGGGCTGAGAGCAGTACGATGTTTTGGATAGCCAGTATAGCACGTCTGTGGTGTTCTCAGCCCAACTAGGCAAAGTTTATGCCTGCATGTGTGCTGCCTAGTGGCCATGAAAAAAATTAGGCCAGTGGTTGAAAAGAGTCCATGCGGCGAATGGCCTGGTGGCTCAGTGGTTAGAGCACCGGCTGAAAATGCGCATTGTGGTTTGAGGTTGTGGGTTCAAAACTCTGTGGCCTGGCGCACATCCGAGGTTAGGCACGTTCATAGCGCCCAGCCATTTGCACACCTCCCTTGGGACGACACATGGTAACTTTATACATACACTGGATGCGCCCGCCCAAGGCGTCCTCGTCCATGGTTGTTGTATGCTGGAATGGGCGTCGGGGAGGGTTGTTCGGGGTTTGGTTTGCTCGTTGTTCCGATGATATCAGGTCTCTTCTGCTTGCCCCTGACGGGGGGGGTGGGGGTTGTCCAGAGGGCACATGGGTGAAATTGTTGTGCATTCAGGATTCAGTTGATTGCTTGGGGTAATACACAAGGCTACCTTGCTGTGGAAAGTTCTTACTGAGGTATCTGTTTGCAGATATGGCCGCACCTATACACAGACCCTGCTAGAACTGAAGGGACTGCTCATAGTAGTATTGTACATGGTATTGAATGAGCATTGAAGGACCCCTATTTGAACCCTTCTCGAACCCCGCTGGCACATAGTAAGTACTAGAGTGTAGTGTAGTATGCTGGCCCAGAGAACCCTGGTCTGCCACTCCCTGCCTCTCCTTAGGGGGGTCTCTGTCTAGACATCTGGGTACCATGGGTTTCCCCGTTAGTGCGGGGCCTTCATAGTGGAGGGGAGTGGCACAGTGGGTAGTATGTCTATGTGTGTTCCCCCTCTTGTGTGACTCGAACCACGGGGGTTAAACGAGTGTCTCATCTCTGGTGTGTGTGTGGGGGAGGGGTACAGGAACCTTGTGGTAGGTAGGGCTGAATTGTTCGGGTTGCTTAATGGTTAGTTCACCGCTCGAAGGGAGTAGTTGACTCACACACAAAGTGAGGCCACCTGCAGAGACCGCATGGGTGGGTGGAAAATCGCATCGTAGGTAGAGATAGTACCTGGGGGAGTCAAGTAGTTAAGAGCCTGCCTGATGACCAGGAGGTGCGAGTGTTTGTCTCATGGATTAGGACCCTGGTTGGCTGGTCGTCACTAGGCAGTGTATAGACATCTGGGTACTCTCATAGCCCCATCATCAGGGTCCTCAGGAACACCAGGGATTAAGCAAGGATGGGCTATGAGATGGGTAAAGGCGCTGGAGGGAGTAGTAGAGAGGATGCCGATAAAGTGTAGCTCGGGTAGGGCTTGTATTGAGCCTGTCTCCTGAGTAGTGGGGGTGTATTGTACATTAAACCACCACTACCTCTGCTGGCCTAAAATGGACTTTCCTGGCCTTACGGACCGGGTTCTTAGGGGGGGACGGCAACTGGCAGGCGCAGGCGGGTCCGGGCCAAGAATTTTCAAGCACGAACTTGACGATTTTTCGCGCTCAGAAAAATTGGCAAAAAAATCTGAAAATTTAATATCCTGTAGAATCGTGTAGAGTAGGCCGTGATCTTTCCAGTGCGAGGAACAAGCCCTCAAGGGGCCCTACAGACATCACATGATCTGGGCTAAGGCCACCAGCAAGCTGAGTGCCCGCCCTAAGTGAAGGCAGGCTTGAATATTTGTCAGAGGCAAAATTCGACATTTCCATATGTGGGTATTCAGGCTCTCACAGCACGCCAGTTGGTTGTCTGGACGCGTGAGCCTCACAAAGCTGCGTCATACAGTTGGCCCAGGCTTTGACAGTTGCGCCTGGGCACATACACACAAAGCAGGACCGATACATTGCCCAAGTCCGGAGACTCAGGCCGTGCCCAACTGAAAAGGGCCCAGGCCCTCAACTGTAGTCTCGGGCCTGGGCACAGGGTCTGAGCCCCAACCGGAAGCTACTGGAAGCTTCCAGCCAGGCCACACACAGCATCCAGGAGGCTGCCACTTCCACAAAAGGAGTAGGGCAGTCCAGGCCAGGCATTCTGGCCAGTGCAGGCAATGCGGAAGTACTGCTGCACTATCGTTTGATGCTCCGCTGCTGCCAAGGGCGCTGACGGGGCGCGTAGTGGTGAAGTGGGGCGCTGCAGGGCAGCTGGGCGCAGGTGGCCATAGCCGGCTGCTGGAAAGGGGGTACAGCGGGTGATCTGGTGGTCTTCAGGGAAGGAGGCAAGTGTGGGGTAATCAGGGTCTGATTGAGGGTGATGAGATACGTACCTGGTGCATGAAGACAGGTCGGCTATGGAGTTGACAGTCATGTACATTGGTCTTCGAGAGTCAAAAGTGAGCCTGTTGCGTGAACCAGCTGTAGGTAGGATAGTCGGGCAGAGTAGGTTGGGCGCTGGGCGCCAGACAGAGGGGAGTGAGACTTTGGATACTGTGTTGGTGTGGCCTACGGGCTTGAATATTGGCTCGTTACTTCATTGTATTGCTCTATATGGATGGTTTCGCGGTGCATTTTGTACTCTCTGCTTGGATACGACTACCTGGACATCTGTGTGATTTCGCAACATTAGTTTTCTGTATATAGTTCACACCTGGGTTAGGCCGATGTCCGGTCCAGATGGACTGGGCCTGACGGACCGGGCCAGACGGATGGGGGGGGGGTCCATCCGGCAAAACCAGACGAGCCAAAAAATGTCCCAGGATTTTTTTTAATGTTTTTTTTGAAGATGGGGTTGGACTGCGCTCGCTGAGAGGAGCCCAAATCCGTTGTACTGCGCTCGCTGAGAGGGAGCCCAAATCCGCAGAGAAACTTGTGAAAGGCGTGTGTGTTGGGGGAGGTGGGTGTGGGGAGGGGGGGGGTGTCAAGGGGTAAAACCGTAAAAGGGTGTGTTGCAGCAGCCAGTTCGCTGAGAGGAGGGGTTGGAGGAGGAGGACCTGCCGGTAAAAGGGTGTTGCAGCAGCCAGTCTCCTCAGAGGAGGGGTTAGAGGAGGAGGAGGACGTGCAGGTAGTGTATGGGGATGATGGAAAAAGAAAATAATAATAAGAGGACGATGGAGGACGAGGAAGGGGAGGAGGAGGAGGAGAGAAGGAGAAGACGAAAGTAGGTGGAGGAGGAGAGAAGAAGAAGAAGAGAGGAGGAGGAGGAGAGAAGAGAAGACGAACTGCAGTCTGCCCGCTTCCCTTCTATTGTTCAAGCAGGAAAAAAAAAAAAAGAGGATTGGGAGATCGCGGGCAGTGGGAGATGACGGGCATTAGGAAATGGTGGAGGAGGAGGACGAGGAGGAAGAAGAAGAACAAGACGAGAGGAGGGGAGGAAGAAGGAGGAAAGGAGGAGAAAGAAGCAGACTTCAAAAAAAAAAAGACGAGAGTAGGAGGCGGAGGAGGAGGAGAGGAGGAGGAGGAGGAGGGGGAGGAGCTTCCAGTGTTCTGTATGGCGATGACGAGAACAAAAAAAGGCCGCTTGAGGAGGAGGAGGAGAGAAGAGAAGAGAGAAGAGGAGAAGACGAAATGATGAGGAAGAGGAGGAAGAGGAGGAGGAAAAGAAGAAAAGAGGAGGAGAAGGAGAAGGAGGAGCTGTCGATGGTCTGACGATGACAAGGGGGAAAAAAAAGGCCGATGGAGGAGGAGGGAAAACAAGAAGACGAAATGAGGAGAGAAGAAGAAGAAGACGAGGTGGAGGTGGAGGAGGAGAGAAAAAGAAAAAGAAGAGAGGAGCAGGAGCTGCCGATTGTCTGGCGATGATGAGGGAAAAAAAAATGCCGATGGAGGAGGAGGGAAAATAAGAAGACGAATTGAGGAAGAGGAGGAGGAGAGAAGAAGAAGAAGATGAGAGGAGGGGGAAGAGAAAAGAAGAAGACGAGAGGAGGAAGAGAAAAGAAGAAGACGAGAGGAGGAGAGAAGAAGAAGACGAAAGGAGGAGGAAGAGAGAAAAGAAGAAGACGAAATGAGGAGGAGAAGACGAAGAGAGGAGGAGGAGGAGGAGAGAAAAGAAGACGGAATGAGGAGGAGAGAAGAAGAAGAGAGGAGGAGGAGGAGGAGAGAAAAGAAGAAGACGGAATGAGGACGATGAGGAAAAGGAGCGAAGAAGAAGAAGATGAGAGGAATAGAGAAAAAGAAGACGGGAGGAGGAGGAGTAGAGAAAAAGAAGACGGGAGGAGGAGGGGGGGGAAGGAGGAGAGAAGATAAGAAGACGAAATGAGGAGGAAGAGGAGAGGAGAAGAAGAAGGCGAGAGGAGGAGGAGGAAGGGAAAAGAGAAGAAGACGAAATGAGGAGGAGGAAGGGAAAAGAGAAGGAGACGAAATGAGGAGGAGGAGAGAAGAAGAAGAAGATGAGAGGAGGAGGAGAGAAAAGAAGAAGAAATGAGGAGCAAGAGGAGTGAAGAAGAAGAAGACGAGAGGAGGAGAGAAGAAGAAGATGAGAAGAGGAGGAGGAGAAGAGGAATGAGGAGGAAGAGGAGGAGAGGAGGAGGAGAAGACCAGAGGAGGAGGAGGAGGAGGTGCCGGTTGTCGGCGATGACGAGGGGGGAAAAAAAAAAGGCCGATGGAGGACGAGTTGGGGGGGGGGGAACAAGAAGACGAAATGAGGAGGGAAAAGAAGATGAAATGACGATGAGGAGAGAAGAAGAAGAAGACGAAATGAGGAAGAGGAGGGAAAAGAAGATGAAATGATGAGGAGGAGAGAAGAAGAAGACGAAATGAGGAGGAGGGAAAAGAAGATGAAATGGTGAGGAGAGAAGAAGAAGAAGAAGAGAGGAGGAGGAGGAGGAGGAGGAGTGAAGAAGAAGAAGAAGACGAGA